AAGCCCAAAACTATTAAGGCAGACCAATGCCACCTGCACTGGAGGTGTGTAGTTGGCATTGGCACTTTGCTAGACTACAGACCATCAGTGTCTGCTGGGAGAGATGTGAGACAGCCTAATGCTCACCCCCAGGCTCCAAACCAGGCATTCCCAAATTTGAACAGAGTTTACCTCACACAGGAGGTGAAGATATCCTGTCATATGGATCTCAGTAGAAACTGTTGAGTTCTTCAAGAGTTAAAGGAATAAAAGTGTATTTGGGTGCCCAAACAGGAAAGCACATGAAGAAGTTGTATTGAAAGGAGGTATGGAAGCAGCTGATTTTCACAGAACTGTTTCAGGGAGTGTACTCAGCCAGTGTGATAAGGGCAATACAAGTCTTACTGGCATCCTCTCTATTTCATTGCCAGAATGTTTTGGTAATATGTGGAATTCAGTTATCCCTACTAATGCCTCCCTTCTGTTGTTAGGCTGTGCTTTTCCACACTAAACACTAGGACCATGGATGAAGTGTTACTGACCTGTACAACACTGTGTCTAGGGGCTGCAGCCAAAGACTTTGTCAGTGGCTTCATATCTGGGTATAAAATGGAATGCAAACCTGTATATTCACTTGCACCTTGAAATTAATACATTTTATTAATCCATGTTATTTTTCAATGTCTGAAAAAAAGTGAACCATAGGATAACAAAATGGTTTGGATTGAAGAGCCCTGAAAGATCACCTCAATCCAACCCCCCTGCCATGGGCAGGGATGCCACCCACTAGACCAGGTTGCCCCAAGCCCCATCCAACCTGGTCTTGGAAAGTGAAAATCCACAACAGCTCCAACAATATTATTCCAATAGTTTTCATCTCATAAGCATTTTAAAATAGAAAAAAAAAAAAGCTTGGAAGTTGCATTAAAATTATCTTTACAAAATCATATGTCAATATAGTTACAGAACATTAGCTGTGATATAAGTTCGAGAATTGCTATTATTGTTTTCATTCCACATGGTTTAGCAATTACAGCCCCAGCTGTGCAAGGCTGGGAATGTACACATATGAAAGGTAACTGCTCTCCCCAAAGCTTATAACCTAAACCAGCGTGGGAGCAGGAATACCTTTGTTATCATATAGCCAAATAGCAGAAAAATTGCTGTGTGTCACCATTAATGAGTCTGGAGTGTGTTTCAGCTGGAGAATTGCTGTGCTGCAATAAGGTTCCCTTTCTGCTCTTTCTGGTGCCATATGCTACCATAATTAGTGCAGGCAAAAGGTAATGAGAGCACACTGGAGAAGAGGGAGCTCGATGGGAAGCAGGTTAATGTCTAAAGCTCTACATTATGTCATCAGTACATAAAAAATAGTGCCATTTTAATCCAGATTTTTAATGCTGCACTTATATTTTGGGAAGTGGTTTTGTCTTTCTCTGAGAATGTCACTGCACCATTTCTGCTTTGAACTGTGGTAGAGCAGTCCCTGTAGAACATGGCTCGAGCAGCCTCCAGATGCACAGGCTGAAAACTCCCACTCTGACAAGCCTGACAAAATTGCTGTCCCTACCTCTGGTCAGCATCACACATCAGACTGGCTCAGATGTGTCATTCAACACAGATTTGGCACTGCTTCATTTTGCCTTCCTTCTCTTTCTGTCTAAGCATAAGAGCCAAGACCCCTTGACTCCACATGGGAAAAGCCTGGCGGTTACCAAGCTCTGAAAGACTTTGCCAAGAGCAGCATCTGACTGTGCCTGGCCTGGCTGCTCTCCTGTGACACTCTGGGCTATTGCACTGTTGGCTGCAAAACCCTTTCTGTGGCTGGTGCAGGGTTGTGGCTCTGATTAGATTTCTGTGCCCATATTGCCACCACAGTTGTGTGTAACGATCTTCTTTGCTAATCAAGCTGCCAGCCACCAGCACTGTGCATGTCTGCAAGCAACCCAGGAGCTGTGCTCTGAATTATTTTCCTCTGCTGCAGGAATGGGGAGATGCCATTTATAAATTTTAAATTATTTCCATATATTTGCTACTTTATTTTAGTTCTGCACCAAATAGGCCAAGTGCATATTTTGATTTGTGTTCTCTTGTTCTTCCTCTATAGCTTCTCTGCATCTCTTTATAGGTCTGTGTTTAAGATGTAGACTTGAACATTGCAGCAGACAATTTCCAGCCTAAGGGAATTGGTTTTGCTGCTTCCTTTGCAATACCTGACTGAAAGACAATGCAAGGACATTAATCTAGTGCAAGGAGGTCACAACTCAAATATGTTACACCCACTTGCCCATGCACTGTTGTCATACAAACCCTTGAGAACAGTAAGCTGTTGGCATGGTTCAAAAAAACCCAAAAAGAACAGAAAAAAACCCCAACAATCAAATAAACTCCACAAAGCAGCACTAAATTTGCCTACTGCAATGAAGAATAAGACCAAAATAAACAGTAATTGGCACACCAGAGGAGGCAGATACATCCAAACACATGTATCAATGTGCTTAGGATTGGAAAAAAAGGAGGAGGTACAGGTACAGGTAAGTTCATGTTTAACCACCTGAAAAAATGGTCTGATTTACAAAACTGCTGTGCAATCAGCAGATCCCACTAAAGTCAAAAGCAGGAAGTGAATCTTTGTATTCTATATTTCTATTTTTATAGTGGGTTTTATAATGGGTCTATTCTAAATCTTTTACTAGCAGAGCCCTCAAAAACTGGAACAAAGAACAATCATCTTACCTGTACTGCAATATGCTCTTACAATAAGTAAAAAATGTGGTGGGAAAGACAAAGCACTACTTTTACAATATCCTGTGCCAAATCACAGGTTATACAATTCAGTTTTTTATTTGCACAGCCAACAGTGCTTTGTAGAGCAATCAGGGAAGATAATACAATCCATTTTACATTCTCATTACTTTAGAAGTGTTGAATCTTCTGAAATTGTTTCAGGGTTAATTGAGAATTTGCAGTTTTACAATAGACTAGGAATTGTTTAGGCTGCCCTTGTTTCATATTTTTGTTCATACCTTTGTTGCAAAGTTATAAAAACAACAATAAAAAAAGAAACAAAGAAGTGAAATGAAATAATGATCTGCATTGTTGCTATTCCAGACACTCATTTTTATGGGAGATAAAGCTGGAGTATTGATTAATGTTTAAATGGCTATTAAGGACATGTTGGGTTGATGGAATATCTCACTATACACTAGCATTTTCTTTGATTCTTTTCCACATATTCCCCAAGGGATAATTTCTGCTCCCAGGGAAGCCAGTGGTGAAACCCTGTGTGACTTTTGTGGGAGCAGGAATAAGTCAACTGTTTGTACTATTAGTCTTTTTCTCATAAATTCCAAAAGATTCTGGTTTCCAAATTTGTTCTTTAACTTATTTTAACATAATAGCAGCTCATAAAAAACGTGGCTGTATATAATGCAGTTTTGATCCTGACTCTGCTGCCTGAACACCAGTGTGCTGTGTCAGGCTCAGCAGCCCTGAGGACATTGCACTTCTCAAGCCTGAAGCAAAATCTTGGTAAAGAACAGCAGTCATGTGTGCAGGGCTGTCTGTCAGCACTTCGTTAGCTCTGATAATGGACATCCCAACACTCTGCTAGAGGGATCTAGCAACTTATTTTTCCACTGTCCAGAGGGCACACAACCAAAGCAAACTTCTGAAATACACGTTCAGTGGGACCATGTCTGCCTTTGTTGGTCTGCAATTTATTCTTTCCTCTTCTAGCAACTTCCATTTTATTTCATTTTACTTCCTTTTTATTTTTAAACCCTAACAACCTGTTAATTTTGTTTATTCCCTCATAGTTACAGTGATACATTTTTTTTTGGCAGCATTATCATACAGGACACCTATCAGGCAAATGCCTAGGCACAGACTCATTAAATAACAATAGGTTCCATGTCAATTACTTGTAATTTAAAATGTCTATAGAAGATTGTTTGGCTCTTTATGACCTATAACAATTCACTACAAAAAAGATAAACAGGTTATTATCCTAAGTATTGATTATATGATTGGAGTTGGTTTAAAATATTAACACATTTAATTGAAGAGGGAATTGGTACCAGTTAACTTAGCTCTGTGTTGTTATATTACTTAATATATTTAACTGAGTGTAGAATTAGGCCCTAATCATGAACATTCTTACATTTACTGCTTCAGTCAAGTAGGGAAGTTCTTAGTGTGTAAACTCCATAATCTCTCTAAATATATCGAGTTTTTGACTCTGAATGTTTGTGCTGTTTAATGCAAAGAAAGCACAGCAGGGAATTTTGTGGTGAGCATCTTGGCAAACAGCATTTTCAAATCCTGATGTAGGCAACATGTATGTGGTTGAATTGTTCCAGGATTCTTCTGAGCATCTATTTTCAATCATCAGAAGGAGGAAACTACAGACCCCAGACTGTGGAACAAACAGGGTCTGCATGTAACCACCTCCCAACAGACCTGAGGAATTCATTGTCTAACTCTCTTTTTGCTACCACACCCCACAAAATAGTACATTTCCAGCCTCACCCAAATAACTAATTGTAAGGGGGGGAAAAAAGAAAAACACTCAAAAAGTTAATTAAAAATATAACTTCTAGTCCAACCAAAATTTTGAGTCTGGGGATAGGAGGGCTGTGAGAAGACTCATGAAGTCTGTACCTACCAGTGTTGATGCACATTGACAGTGTTTAGGTCCTCTGGCTGTATAACACAGCAGTAGGAAATAGATCCTAGATAATGTTTTAAATATTGATTTCTGTACTAAACTTTGGGATATATATATATATAAATATTTCCAAAGGAATTGACTCAAACCTCTCCATATCTCCCTCTGTCAGCTAAGTCTAACAATAAAGAATTATCTGTAAGAGAAGGCATAAGGTATAAATTGTATTTTTGACATATTAAGAGATCCAGCCCTGAAAACCAGTGAGTGCAAAGACATATTCCTTTGTAGCAATGTAATTGGATTATGTTTAGATCTATAATTTGTTAACAACATCTGTCCTTTTCTTTAGATATTCAGTTTACAAGGATCCAGCAGGCTGGTTGGAGATCAATCCTACCAATGGCACCATTGGCACCACTGCTGTCCTGGATCGGGAATCTCCCCATGTGCAGAATAATGTATACACTGCTCTCTTCCTGGCAATAGACAGTGGTGAGTAGCTCTTATGGATAATAGTCATTAATCTATTTTTTTTTCCCCTGCTTGAAACTTTGTGTTCTAAAAGGTGCACACATAAACTTCAGCATATCCTTTAGCACTTGGCTCAGTGGTCACTTAAAGGTATTAGAGCTCATTGTGAAATTAACTTCAAACCTAGAACATCTACAGGAATCATAGAATCAACCAGGTTGGAAGAGACCTCAAAGATCATCAAGTCCAACCCTACCATGGTTACTAGACATAGCACTAAGTGCCACAACAGCTTTGGTTTAAGTTTACATCACACACATTTACACCTACACTGAGATCTTAATCCAAGTTGCAAGTTATCTAGGAACATTGTTGGAAATCATGTTTGTCAGAGTTAATTTCTACACAATATTTGAGCAGTTAGTAAGCCTGAGGCATCTAAATACCAATAACAATTCGTCCCTGATATGCTGAATTCTATTCTAGTCAATACAATGGCAGCAACAACAAAAACATAAGTAAAAATCCTTGTTAAAACGCAACAATTTTTACGTATTGTGTGTATTAAAGTTCCTTCTGTCAAACAGAATCAAAATTAAGCCATCTAGGGGAAATTCAGCAGGTTACTTTTGAGCAGAGAAAGAAAGAGGAAATCCTGAACATTCCAGATCTCCAGAGCTGAAGGCACAATATAAATAAAAGATTTGCCTGTAATACAACAGCTAATATGCAAACACTTTTTCACAGCTGCAGCTGGCTTAGCCTTGGTGATGAATTGTAAAATATTCTTTTTAGGAGAGTAATTCTACATTTTTGTAACCACATGACTCAGGGAACATTTCCAGGACCTGACAGGAGAAAGAAAATATTGCCTTAAGTATAACAGAAAAAAAAATCTGCTGAGATTATGATTTACTTATATATTAATGCACATCTTTTCCTTAGGAAACTTCCATGGAAAAATGTAGCACTAAACATATTTCTCTGTTTTACTTGCCATTGGATACAGATTTTTTTGGAATGCATCTGAAAGTCTGATACACTGGGAAATGTCGTCTCACAGTGAAAGTCAAAATTTGGGATATTCATAGAATCATAGAATTTTAGGGGTTGGAATGGACCCATAGAGATCATCCAGTCCCAAACCCCTGCCCTGGGCAGGGACACCTCCCACCAGAACAAGTTGCTCAAGGCATTATCCAACCTGGCTTTGAACACTGCCAGGGTTGGGGCAGCCACAGCCTCCCTGGGCAACCTGTGCCAGTGTCTCACTACCCTAACAGGAAAAAATTATTTCCTAATATCTAACCTAAACTTCCCCTCCTTCAATTTGAACCCTATCATTGCTGTTCCTAATAAAGAGTCCCTCTCCAGCTGCCTTGTAGGCCCTTCAGATACTGAAAAGTTAATATCTTATTGAAGGGTTACCAAAAGGACAAAGTTATGTTTTAAAGGAGGAGTCAGATATCATCAAAGAGAGTAGATGGAAAGGAAAGCTGAGTGTCCTTGTCTGTGGAAACCAGCTTGAATGAAGTGGATTTTTGTGTGTACCTTTATGTTGTGCTTAGGGCAGTAACATTCACTACACATTTATTCTAAGTCCAGAGCCTCACTGCTACGTGACCCCTCTTATTTCCCAGAAGGTTTTCTCTTCTGGAAGAATGAGAGAAGGGATAGGTGTCTGTGTGCCAAACAGCAAAGCAAGAGAGAAAAGGAATCCTGTTCACTTGAGGTACTGAGTCAGCACCTAATTCCAGCAGCTGTAACTGTGCTTATTTGTAATGGTGCAGCACAGTTAGTGCAGGAGTTCATCTCCTCCAACTCAACTTCTCTGAATGAAGTAATTAGAAACCACATGTGTGCAGTGAGTATTGACATGCCAAGGTGTTAATAATGATAGTTCAGGGGTATTGTACTCCACTGTATGTTGCCCAGCCATGTGTGGAAGTGGGAACAAACAGCAGAACTTAAAGAGCTGATATTAACCTTGTGGTTTGTATCACCTCTGGATTAATTACCAAAGAGCTTGGGGAGCACATTAAACTTAGAGTCAGGCTGGTAAGTGGGTAAATTTTCTGCTGGTCTGTACAAACATGTAAATGTGGAATTTGTAGGAGCTGAGAGGAGCAGTAACTCCCCTGGAGCTGCACACCACCTCAGCAATACAGAGATCTTTGCCTCTGGTTGCACTGTCCAGGTGAGAGATGCTGGGCAGGTCTGGGGTAGGACAGATGAGCTTTGGTTGTACTTGCAGCTCAGTTGCTCCATTGGCAGAGGGAACACTGTCTGGGCACATAAGAGCTGCCAATCTGAATACTCAGACTAGACTCTATGGCTGAAGCAACCAAGGAAGTTTTAGAATTGATCTCAACAATTTTAGGGTCTGCCTTGTCCCCTGCAGGTATGACTGGAATTGATAATATCCCTGGAAGGTGTTCCCCAACATATTTCCAATGCTAACTAGCAAAGCTGTGAAACCCACTTCATTTCTCTAGCCATCAGAGCTAATGTCCATCTTGAAAAGGGATATTAGACTAGATGAGAAGCCAAATTGTGGCAGAATGATATGAAATGAATACAGAATTCTTTCAGAACTTTAAAAGAAGGTTATGTTAACTTAGGAAGGAAAAAAATAATCAGATTGAACATAACTATATCCATTCTTTTTAAAGCAGCATTGTCCACAGACTGCAAATCTCTTTCTTCAGGTTAACAAATGTAGTCTGTCTAATACCAGTGAATATGGTTGGGACTTTTAACTGAGAGAGCAGCCACAGGCAGCATTAAGAATTGCCAAATGAAATAGGATAATGAAGAGCAAATTCAGAGGCATTTCCAATAAAGCAAGTCATTTGCTTGGGCTAACAGACTTGGGGTGAAAAGGGAGGAGAGGATAAAACCCATACTTAATCAGAAATGCCTTTTTCAAGAGTTCAATGGAGGTTACAATTTCCTTTGGCCTCTCAACTTATCTCTAAATCAAATCTGAGATGTGTTGGCACATGCACTGAGGAAGTCTGAGCTGCCATAGACTTTCCTTTCCTTCCCTGGGAAGTACAGAGAGCTCAGGTGATGTCCCCAGCACAGTCTGGCAGTGTGAATCAGTGCCCAGTGCAGCTCCAAGCATAGCTCACTGTGAGTAGTGTGCTGATCTTTAACAGTATTTATAGTGACTAAATCTTAAATCAAATCAAGCCTTGAACCTTTCACATTGCTAAAGAACCTTAGGCATATGCAAAACCAGTAAATAAACACACTATTATTACTATTTAATGTTCATAGCATATAGAGATTATCCAGTTACAGAAAAGATCCTGTTGTCCCATTGTATTTCGTGATCACCTCTTTTTAAAACAACCTCACGTTCATGTGCTGTCTTGGGTGAGGAGTGGAGACAGCTGAAAGCAAACCTCACAGAGATACTTTTTTCATCCCCTTTCATGGATGTCAATAGAGAATCTGTCATCAGTTCCAGCAGGCAGTGGCTCCTCGTTATTACACTTCAGTGCAGGGGACAAGTGCCAGGGCATTTTTTCATTTGTAAAATGCTGCAGTTTTCTGTCAGAAGTAAAACCAGGAGCTTTGTACTTGGGAGTTCTTTATATAAATCCATCACATCTTTATCTTTTTTTGGTAAATCACAAAACTGTTCTTTACCAGTAGGACAGTAACCATCAATGGGTCATAGAAAATGGAGTCATTCCACTGCAGGAAATAATTGAGCTCTTTAGGAGATTCTTTTTGACCTTTATGATATTATTTCTCAGCATTATCAAATTAACTGCAGGTAAAGGTAGTTTAGTATGAATTATGTCATTTCCAATCTAAACAGTTCCTGTACCTTCCCAAACATAATTGAAACAATGTGTAAGAGCAAATTTGATTGAAACAGTGTTAATTTTATAGATAATAAATTTTGACCTTTTATGAGGGCAAATTATACTTTAAAAAGGACTTTTTGGAATGAATATCCTAATTTTCTCAGTACATTTGAATTCAGCAAAAGGTCAAGGTAGTGTCTTTAGAAATTGGAAACTTTTTATTAAAGACCTGTGTGGACATAGAGTCTCTGGTCTATTAAAGAAGAAATTAAACACTGGTAGGATATATCATGAAGCAGAGTTAACACATTAAAGTGTCATGAACTGTGTTTAATCTGAGAATGAGCTGATAATGGGACAAAGTCAGGTTTGTGCAAACTTGAGGAACATCAGAGGTTTCATTCAATTAACAGAAGTGCCAACAATGGTGATCATTTTATTTCCTGAATTTAGCACTCCAATCATTAAAACCAATGCAGTGTCACAAGGATACAGTGCAATTATTGAGAGTATATCTGTAAAACACACTTGTGTTAAATAAGGCAAGAAAGCATTGGAGTTTGAGAAATCTGCATGGAACAGACTTTCCTAATTTGCTGCATGACCATGTTATAGTGTCATCCCACAGATTCTGTTCTACACTGGAATATTTGGGATGACTATCACAAACCTGTAGGTTTTTCTCATAAGGTCAGTCATGATAAAAACCCTCCAGGAAAGGTCTTTCTCCCTCTGCATTCTGAGAGTTTGAGTCACAATCTAGAAAAAGTAAGGGAGGAGTAAAACATGTCTGGAGGTGAAGGTACAAAATTACCTGGAAAATGTGTGAAATCTTAAAAAGCCAAAATTGGTTTCTCCCTTTCCTTTAAGAGGGATGAATAATAAAATATCCCCAGATTTAGCTTATTTATGCAATAATCCCTCATGTTTTGTGGATGGCCATAGTACCCTGGTTAATATCCCTATTGTGTAGCTTTTTCCCTTTAGAAGAAAAACTTTTGTTACCTTTCATTCTCAGAAAAAAACCCTTATGCTGTTCTAGTCTCTCAGCTGGTGACTAGTGGTGACACACTAATCTCACTGATTTCGTTATACGCAGTTATCATCTTCTCTTTGTTCATGCTACCCCAGTGGCTACCACCCACCCAAAGCCAGGGAGAAATGTTCTCCCCCTGAGACACATCCTCTCATCTAGTGTGT